AACAAACCCAAAGCGGGCGTGCTCGAATGCCAGTCTGGACTGATTTAATGCTTCATATGGGCCTGCTGGTTCGCTTGAGCAGTCTGATACATTAGGATGATCTTTCATGATGCAAAGTTTGCAAAGGGAGAGTGTAAAATGTAAACAGGAAGTGCCAGAGGACAAAGAGCTGATTTTTTTCTCCATTGCCTGTCCATAGGGATGTTTGAGATTTTATTTCATGATGTAAAATTCATTTTAATATATATCCATATATTTTTTTCAATTTGTAAATAATTTCTTATTACAATGTAATTGACTGGTTAATTACATAATTAATTCATTCATTATTATTGTTTAGACTTTAGTGCTATAGTACATACTATAGCATGCGCCGTGGTACTCTTGTGAACGTGTGTCAACTGACACGGAGGAGAAGAAATTGTTGAATAAGGTTGTTATTTTTTGTTTTCTTTGCCCACAAAAAGTATTCTTGTAGCTTCATAAAATTACGGTTGAACCACTGATGTCACATGAACTATTTTAACAATGTCCTTACTACTTTTCTGGGTCTTGAACGTGTCAGTTGCATTGCTGTCTATGCAGAGTCAGAGAGCTCTCGTATTTCATCAAAAATATCTTAATTTGTGTTCCGAAGATGAACGAATGTCTTACGGGTTTGGAACAACATGAGGGTGAGTAATTAATGACAGAATTTTAATTTTTGGGTGAACTATCGCTTTAACCAGTTTGGTGTTTGCTATTTTTGATCAAAATAATATTAGTAACCAAAGTTGCATTATTTCTCCTGCATAATAAAGCGCAGTATGGACCAGTATAGATGTGTAACCTACATAAAGAATCTGAACTGCGGAATTTTCTATTCATCAACGTTAGAGCCGTGTGAGGCACTTTTTATTATGGATGCATGCGCTTTATTTCACTTCTTTTGGACTGATGCACTGCAACACTTGCTGACTGCCATTAAACAGCTTGATCAACAGCAGATCAAAGTCAATTTTTAATATAACTCCGATTGGATTCATCTGAATTTCTGTCTGCAATAGCTCTACTGTGTTGTAACATGGTGTGGTATATGAGCAACTCTGGTAACGCTGATATAACGCTGACAAAATATTCTAGGGGCCATGACATTTTTGTGGAAATGATCAAAAATGTTGGCGGTGGCTGGCAACTTTAAAAAAAAATACTGGTGGGAAAATAATTAAATTAAATTAATAAAAAAAATATATATAATAACAATAATGATATTAAAAAAGTCATTTATTAAATCATATTAAATTGACAGTCCTCTTTATTTCTAAAGGACTTGTCCTCAGTTTAACCGGAGTAGCGAATTGATGCGTTTTTGTAAGAAAAATAACCATATTTAAAACGTAATAATCAATTTAATCTAGCTTGTGCTCACTGTTGTACACGGAAGCAGTTCCGGGCGGATGACGTAAGACGTCAGCATTGCGCATGCGCCGCTCAGAAGTGACGAAAGTGGAAGCGCAGGGGAGAGATCAAAACAAAACAATGGTCATGAATTAGAAGTACAAAACGAGGATTTGTAAAGAAGAATGTCAGAGGATTTCGATATAAGCCAAGAGAAGACTGGTTTTCCTTTGCTAAAGTAAGGAAACTTTGCTTCCTTTGCTCCTATAAACAAACGTTGGTTTTCACGAGACTCACCGGCACATGCGCAACGCTGACCCCATACGTCATCCGCCCGGAGCTACTTCCGTGTACAACTGTTGGCGCAAGCTAGATTAAAGTGACTATTAAGTTTTGAATATGGATATTTTTCTTACAAAAAATAATGGGCTAATTTTCATTTTTGGGTGAACTATCCCTTTAAAAGTCACAATTACAATATCAAGGGAATTAAACGTAAATTATGTTTTTTGTCATAATCGTGCAGCTCTAATTCATGGTAGGCCTATATAGCATCACTTCGGCACAAATAACAGGTACACTAGTCTGTCCATCCAGGTCATTATGCCCTATACCAGATGGCAACTTTAAAAAAAAATACTGGTGGGAAAATAATTAAATTAAATTAATAAAAAAAATATATATAATAACAATAATGATATTAAAAAAGTCATTTATTAAATCATATTAAATTGACAGTCCTCTTTATTTCTAAAGGACTTGTCCTCAGTTTAACCGGAACAACAGGCGGTTCAGCTCTCTCGGGCCTCAGGGGCGACTGACTGTGTCTGCATTAGAGGGCCGGAGTGATTAATTTTTTGTAGCCGCTATGTACACAACCTCCAGCCTTCTTCCATCACCACGAAGAGGATAAAAGTGTTTACAGGACTTACATAAAAACACTCTTTTGTGAGATAACATGTGTGTGTTTAGAGTTATTCCTGCAGGGCGGCTGAGTACAGCTCCAGCCGCTTTTCCACTTTGCTTCCTGCCCTAATCTTTTTATATCTCTGCCTGTCCAGTTGGCAAGAGGCCACTCCGTATCCAGAATCATTCCACCATTATGTGCTTCAAAACTTATTCTGCTGCTGTCTCACATTGAACATCCCTATATGTTCATGGCCCCTCCTTGGAGAAGATCCTCCTGAGAAACCTCCTCCACACCAAACGATGTGAGAAATAATCCATTTTGTTATTGCTTTGGGACTTTTCCAATTCAGCTTAAGCAGGTTTGGGGGGATGTGAGAGCAAGCTTCCATCTTCTAGTAAAAACAGTCTTTGTTTATTCTGCAAGGCATCGGCCGGCATGCTCTCCCTTGGGGCGGCAGGAGTGTTGTAAGCCCATGCTGGTGTCTGCGGTCGCAGAAAGTGACATGGCCTTGTGGCAGGAGACATAGCAACTGGTGTGGGGGAGGGGATGGGGGAGGAGAGCAGGAACAGTGAAGGATATAAACGAAAGAGTAGCGAGGAGATGTGGTGTGAAAGGCAGCCTGGAGGTTCTGGCAGAAAAGAGTTTGAAGAATGATGCTCCAAATATCCAAATCATTAAACGTCCCTGCTCACAGACCGTATGGTCAGAATAAAATCTTGTCTGTTTAAATGCACTTTACACCTGGGTGCTTCAAAAACATTGTATGACTTTTAAATATTTACATACTTTTTAAGGTGATGCAATTTAAAGTCATTGTTACATTCTGTAATTATTCCTAAACCTTGCTGCATGCAGAATACAAATCATTTTAGTCTCTGAGAAAAGCACGGTCATATTATATTATGAAAAACGTTTTGTCAGGTAACCTAAAAAAGCATCACTGAAAGGATAAATGAAAAATAAAAATTCTGTCATCATTTAATCACCCTTATGTCTTATGTCCTGACCTGTACTGTATGACTTCTTTCATCTGTGGAACATGAAGAAGATATTCTGAGGAATGTTTCAACTTCATACAATGGAAGTCAATGGGGTCCAAAAATACAAACAACAATAACAATTTTTTTTTAAATGTATATATTTTTTGTGTTTCAGAGAAGAATGCCATATATGTATGAATGAATGTATGTATGTAAGTATAAATAAATAATAAATAAATACTAAGTTTTTTTTAAATGTTAAAAGTTTTTTTTTTTTTTTATGTTTAAAAAAAAAATTTTTTTTTAAGTTTTAAATAAAACGATTAGCGAATGTTTTACAAGAATGGAAGTCAACGGGGTCCAAAAATCCAACAAATATTTCAAAATATTTTCTTTTGTGTTCCATAGAAGAATGTCATACACACTGTAGACACATTAATAAATAAATAAATAAATACGTTTTAGATTAAGATTATTGACAATTTTTACAAGAAAATTATATTGCAGTTTCTACTCTAAATTTCATTTTAATTCAGTGTTCCTTGCTGTTTCTTTGTAATGATTTATGAAATTTAAATCTTACACCAATTTCACAATATTTGTTTATGATTTATGTGATTTATGAGAAAATATGATTTACTATGACGTAACCAACTTGACTACTGAAATTTATTTTTACATGTCAGATCAAGCTAAAATAACTCTCGGTTAATATTTGGTTAAAATAAGTTCTGCATATGTGACACTGGTTTATTCCTCTGAAGATGACACTTTGGAATAGACATGCTATATCTCTATGATTCACTGGAATGGGGGCATCTTGCAATTAATATGTGTGTGACAGAGAGACAGAGATGTGACGGGGAGGGTCAAGGATGGAGGAACGGTCATGGCCGGGGGTGGAGAGAATTCTTTAACATTATTATGCTGGAAAAGCCCATCCCCCTTTATGTCCCATCTCGTAAATGTCTTAGGGGAAAAAATCTCTTTGCACCATTCAAGGGGTCATGGAAAATCGCATGCACCAATCAGGAGGAGTGTAGATTGCCATATCTGCTTGACTGCACGTGACATGATGGGTTCAATGGCTCTTAATGTTTGAGTTATCATTAAAAGAGCACAGGTTGAGAAAGATGGTCTTACTGGTCACATGATCAAAACCATGATGCAAAATCATGATGCAGTTAGAACTCATTGTAGATTGAACAACTACCAAGGGCTGTTTCTTTGGGCACATCTAAGTACAAACAGTGAGAAAATTTGCTTTTCAATGGTTTTTACCTGGAATTCAGCCTCCTATAGGCCTATAAGTTTTATAGAGCTGATTTGGTTAAAACATTAACTCAGACATGAATTAAACTTCTATAATGATGCAGTATTGAGAAGGATCTATCTAGGATATACTGAATGTATATAACATCAACATATTTGAATTAAATCGAGTTCAGCAGGTCAACTTTCCATAACTTCAGCACCATGGACAGAGCACAACTTCCTATGAATGCCAGTTGAAGCTACATGAAGAAAACAGGCCTAATTTAATTTCATTAAAAGTGCTAATAATGAAAATGTCAACTGGAGAATGTCTCCGAGCATTATTGACATTAAACGCGAATTAGGAATGATTACTGTTCACACAAACCAATAGAGAAACCACATTACATTTCTTCACAACAAAAACAATTCTGTGGACAAATGAAGTGAAATAAATCACAGTTGTGTTGTAATCTTACCTACACGATGGTTAGAATTGAACCAGAGCACATCTGCAGAACTGTTACGGATCCGCGTGAGCGACTTTCGGCGTTTTTCCCTCGACTTTTGGCGTCCTAAAACGGCTTAAACGTGAATGGGTGAATGGGTGAATGGGTTGGGGAAACAATAAATGCGGCGTATTAACAGTCTCACACGATTAAGATGAAGCGATATCTTGGCGTAATCACTGTGTTCCTTATTTCATACCCGTTTATGTGGAGTTGTCAACATCCTGAGCGACTTTTCATAGACCGTTCATTAAATGTGAGGAAAAAAAGAAGCTCCGAGAGCACAATGTAGTAATTTAGAAGAGGAAAAACTTGTTGAGGTAAATAAAAGTCCTTTTCGATAAGTAGACCTAATCAAATCCGTCGTCGTTCGAAGAAATTAGCCTAAACTAGTTCTGCATCGAAGAGTGGTCCGTGAAATGAGGTGCTGTATAAAAAGCCGTTCCTTCAAACGTCCTCAACCGGAACACGAAAACCTTCGCAGCTCCATAATATCACAATGCGCCTCAAGCTTCAGATGGCAGCGTCTTCTCTCTTTGTGCTAGAAATTACCACGGACTATGAAATCTCAAGCTTGTTTGTTCTCCGATGCTGATTTGCCGTGTTTGGTGTCGCGTTCTTTCCCGCCAGATAATTGCTGCTGTTTGTCTCGTGCAGCTGAAGTGCACTGTAAATCTGCCTGCGCGCGCGGAGTGGGATGAGACGGTTTTACAGTTCCGGTCGCTGTGCTGACTGACGATATGCGGCTATCAGGAACTGTGATGCGAGTTCAACGAATCCAGAGAAGCATCATAAATTCATCAGAGCCCCTGGAAGGCGTTAAGATACCGCCTCACCTGATTAAATAAGTCGTTAAAATGTATGTTAAACTTTTCTGGGGCCACACTTTACAATAGTGTTAACGCTGTTGCTTATTTAATCAACATAAGTATTGCTGCTTAATTAAAATATTATGTGACGAACCTTGTAATTAAACATTATGTTAATAATAATAATGTTAATACTACTGTGTTATAAATAGAAACGTTTATAAAGCGCTTTATAAACGATTAGTTCGGACTAGAAATTCTGATTGGATGAGCCGCGTTCTAAATTGATGATAAATGCTGATAAATACAGTTAAGGCTAGAAGCAATACAGCTGCAGCTACTGGGCATGCGCACATCAATAGCTTAATTTTTTGTCACGCTGAACAATACTGTATTTGCATTATTGTAAGGGGTAGGTTTAGGGTTGGGGTATGTGTAGACATTAATAAAACAATCTAATAGGTAGAAAATTTAATTTCCCACACTTTACAATAGTGTTAACGCTGTTGCTTATTTAATCAACATAAGTATTGTTGCTTAATTAAAATATTATGTGACGAACCTTGTAATTAAACATTATGTTAATAATAATAATGTTAATACTACTGTGTTATAAATAGAAACGTTTATAAAGCGCTTTATAAACGATTAGTTCGGACTAGAAATTCTGATTGGATGAGCCGCGTTCTAAATTGATGATAAATGCTGATAAATACAGTTAAGGCTAGAAGCAATACAGCTGCAGCTACTGGGCATGCGCACATCAATAGCTTAATTTTTTGTCACGCTGAACAATACTGTATTTGCATTATTGTAAGGGGTAGGTTTAGGGTTGGGGTATGTGGACATTAATAAAACATAATCTAATAGGTAGAACATTTAATTTATTGTTGGTTTCCAGCCGTAGCTGTATACCTTAGCCACAACCATTGAATACCGGTGTTTATGAGCATGGAAACCGTAAACAGCATAGGCTACGGTTAGGATGATGAACTATTATTTGCCAGATGAAATGTTTATTTTGATTATTATTACTAATTTTAGCTATTTATTGCTATTTTACCCACCTTATGTTTAACGTAAGATCGGACCATTTGTAAATTGAATGTGGAATTTTGGTAATTGCAACTTTTTATCTCACAATTCTGATTTTTTGATTTGCATTATTGTAAGGGGTAGGTTTAGGGTTGGGGTATGTGTAGACATTAATAAAACATAATCTAATAGGTAGAACATTTAATTTATTGTTGGTTTCCAGCCGTAGCTGTATACCTTAGCCACAACCATTGAATACCGGTGTTTATGAGCATGGAAACCGTAAACAGCATAGGCTACGGTTAGGATGATGAACTATTATTTGCCAGATGAAATGTTTATTTTGATTATTATTACTAATTTTAGCTATTTATTGCTATTTTACCCACCTTATGTTTAACGTAAGATCGGACCATTTGTAAATTGAATGTGGAATTTTGGTAATTGCAACTTTTTATCTCACAATTCAGATTTTTTTTTTCTCAGAATTGCATGATTTAAACTCGCATTTCTGACTTTTTATTTGTTATAAATGTTTTTTTCTTGCAATTCTGACTTTTTTTCCACAATTGTGCATTTATAGCTCACATTTCTGATAACAAGCAATTGCATTATAAGTCTTTTTTCCTCAGAATTGGACTTTATAACTAGCAATTGTGAGTATATTTCTCACAATTCTGAAAAGTCAGATTTGCCAGATGTAAACTCACAATTGTGCGAAAAAAGTCATAATTGTGAGATATAATGTCGCTGTTACGGGTTGGTGAGGTACACACACACGAGGACGAAGGAGATATACAAAAGGTAATTTAATCAGTAAATCCAGGAGACAGGCAAGTAGACCAACATTACATAAACGAGAACGGACTCCGACTAAGGGAAAACTGAGAGTATTTGTAGGGGAGCAAACGAAAGAACTAATGAGTTAATTAATCAAACACAGGTGAACGAAATGACAATTAGGAGCCAAAGTAAAACTAGGTCACAGGGGAACAGA